TCCTTCCTTCCTTCCTTCCTTCCTTCCTTCCTTCCTTCCTTCCTTCCCTCCCTCCCTCCCTCCCTCCCTCCCTCCCTCCCTCCCTCCCTCCCTCCTTCCTTCCTTCCTTCCTTCCTTCCTTCCTTCCTTCCTTCCTTCCGTTTTTTGAGACGGAGTCTTGCTTTGTCGCTCAGGCTGGAGTGCATTGGCGCCATCTCAGCTCACTGCAACCTCCGCCTCCGGGGTTCAAGCAATTCTCCTGCTTCAGCCTCCCAAGTAGCTGGGATTACAGGTGCCTGACACCACACCCAGCTAATTTTTGTATTTTTAGTACAGACGGGGTTTTACCATGTTGGCCAGGCTGGGCTTGAACTCCCGACCTCAGGTGATCCAACCGCCTCAGGCTCCCAAAGTGTTGTGATTACAGGCATGAGCCACCGCACCTGGTCTGACGTTAACTATTTTGCATGTGCATATGTGTGTACATATGTGTATGTGTGTGTCTAAATTTTTCTGCTCCAAGTAGAGTCTGGATCAGAAGCTTCACCATGTCCTAAGAGTTAGAAATGTAGGATCTTGGGCCCCAGCATCAGGTATCTGCCTTTAAAAAAAAATCCCCTGGGCATTGGCTGGGCACTATGGCTCACACCTGTAATCCCAGCACTTTGGGAGGCCAAGGCGGGCAGATCACAAGGTCAGGAGATCGAGACCATCCTGGCTAACACGGTGAAACCCCATCTCTACTAAAAATACAAAAAATTAGCCGGGCGTGGTGGTGGCGCCTGTAGTCCCAGCTACTCGGGAGGCTGAGGCAGGAGAATGGCGGGAACCCGGGAGGCGGAGCTTGCAGTAAACCGAGATCGCACCACTGCACTCCACCCCGGGGGACAAAACGAAGCTCCCGCCCAAAAAAAAAAAAAAAAAAAAATCCCCTGGGCATTTGAATTCACATTAAATTTCTAGTTGCTGCTTCTGGAGACAGTTCATGCAAGTATAAGCCTCAACAAACACCATACCTATACATATTCTTTTTTTACCTTAACAAAACTAAACAAAACAAAACATAGCAGTAAGTTATACACATGATTCTGAACCTTGCTTTTTTTCACCTAACAATATATTTTGGAGATCTTTCTATATCAGTGTCTTGAAGAGCCTTCCCATTCTTTTTTTTTTTTTTTGAGATGGAGTCTCGCTGTCACACCCAGGCTGGAGTGCAATGGCGCGATCTTGGCTCACCGCAGCCTCTGCCTCCCGGGTTCAAGTGATTCTCCTGCCTCAGTCTCCCAAGTAGCTGGGATTACAGGCACCTGGCACCTCAGCTGGCTAATTTTGTATTTTTAGTAAAGATGGAGTTTCTACATGTTGATCAGGCTGGTCTCAAACTCCCAACCTCAGGTGATCTGCCCACCTCGGCCTCCCAAAGTGCTGGGATTACAGGTGTGAACCACCACACCCAGCCATGAGCGTCAGTTTTATTATCATTTTTCTGTAAAATTGAGATAATTTTATTTGCTTTGCAGGCTTGTGTGGATTAAATAAGGTGACATATTTAAAGACCCTGGCCTCAGCACTTGTTAAAGCTTAGTTTCTACCTTTCTTTTGTAAACCATTCAGGTAGGCCGCCCATGGCAAATAGGTGGCTCCGTGACTCTCTGGGGGCCTCTGTTGACATGCATTCTCTGTCGAGCTCTTCCACAAAATCTCTATGAAATCCTTTTGTTCAGGGTTGCCCTAGATAGAAATTGTAACTAAATTTCATCTGTGTAAAAATGGTATGATATGGGGAAATGCTTGCAAAATAATGTTAAACTGAAGAGAAGGATATGAAACAATATAAACTGTGACTCTAATTTTGCTTTAAATATATGCATAGAGGGCTGGGCACTGTAATCCTAGCACTTCGAAGGCTGAGGCAGGCAGACTGCTTGAGCCCAGGAGTTGGAGATCAGCCTGGGCAACATGGAGAAACCCTGTCCCTACCAAAAATACAAAAATTGACCAGGCATAGTGGCTCACACCTGTAATTCCAGCAGTCTGGGAGGCCAAGGTGGGTGGATCACCTGAGGTTAGGAGTTCAAGATCAGCCTGGCCAACATGGTGAAACTCTGTCTCTACTAAAAATACAAAAATTAGCTGGGTGCGGTGGTGCACTCCTGTAGTCCCAGCTACTCAGGAGGCTGAGGCAGGAGAATCACTTGAACCCAGGAGGTAGATATTGCAGTGAGCTGAGATCACTGCACTGCACTCCATCCTGGGTGACAGAGCAAGACTCGGTCTCAAAAATAAATAAATAAATAATAATGAAAAACAGAAATTCGCCAGGTGTGGTGACATGTGCTTGTACTCCCAGCTACTCGGTAGGCTGAGGTGGGAGGATCATCTGAGCCTGGGAAGTTGAGGCTGCAGTGAGCCATGATTGCGCCACTGCACTCCAGCCTGGGTGACAGAGTGAGACCCTGTCTCAAAACAAAAACAAAGACAAAACAACAACAACAACAAAACACAAAGAAAGTATACCAATATGTTATCAGTGATTATCTTTAGGAGGTAGGGTTATGAGTGGTTTTAATTCTCTTTGGTATGTCTTTCTGTATTATCCAAATATTCTACAGTGAGCATAATTACTTTTATATTTTAAGAAGGCAAAATAAGCAACATTTAAATATGCTGATAGGATGGTATGCCTCTGGAAGAGTACATGAGAAACCTTTAATGATGGTTGTCCCCAGTGAGGGCAACTAGGGGCTCAGACACGGGGGTGAGAGAAAGACTGATTTTTTTATTTTTGTAGTTTTGAATATCATACCACCTGTATGTATTATGAATTAAAAAATAAATAAAAACAGAGGAAGAAAATCTTGATAGGAAGGAAGGTGAGGGCTTGCCCAGAGTGATCTGCGTGGCTCTGGTGTCCACTACACTGTGGTGGTGCAGGTGAGATGGCCATGCAGAGGGACCTTGTGCCAGGGGTGGATGGGCACAGTGCCCTGGCAGGGGGGCTCCTCTCCTGTCTCCTCAGGTCCAAATCAAGGAAGAGACCCGCTTGGTGTCTGTCATTGACCAGATTGACAAGGCTGTGGCCATCATCCCCCGAGGCGCCCTCTTCAAGACACCTTTTGGACCCACCCATGTCAATCGGACCTTTGAAGGTAAGTTCTCTGGGGCCCTTCTCAAGGGCTGGGGGGTATCTTTTCCCAAGCACAATAAAACATATGTCTGGGAGTCCAGTGGGGTACTTACACACTTTATCAGAGAAGAAGTAGCTGTGACCTTATCAGCTGGAAGGGTATGCCCAGTGACCTGGCACCAGTGGTCAGTATGGGCTCCCCAGTCAGTGGTCCCTGACTCTCTTCAGCCTGAGGAGTGGGAGAGCATGTAGTCCCTTGGTCCCAGAGCTTTACATGGGTCTGGGCTACCTGCCTTTTCCTATCTCCTTCCTCCTTGGACTTCCTTCCTTCCTTCCTTCCTTCCTTCCTTCCTTCCTTCCTTCCTT